CGTTAATTTCCGAACTTTTTCTACTACGCGACAGTGATAATTTTACAAAAAACGCTATTCACCCTTATTTCAGAATGTCTGAAAAATATTTAGTAACTTTTCGAACCCGAAATAATAAGTAATTTAATCGTGACGGCCGTTTTAATTTTCTGGTGTGCACAACGCTTCGTTAACGAAGTACGTAAACGATATTTTAATTGAAATCATTCCGTGTCCGAACAGAATTCAACGTTCGATTCGCAAAGTTAATTTAATAATAAATAATCGCGTTAAAGAACGCGTGAGGGACTTGTTTGTTAGTTTTTATTTTTTTTCGAAGGCAATTCGAAGGACACGATTCGTAGGAAATTCGGCGGCCATGTGACACGATTTTACCGTAGATACAGGATATACGGGGATGTACAGGGATATACAGGGTGTTCCAAAAGGTACTCGATTCTCTGAGAGTGCTGATGCCCGAGGTCATTCGAAGTAACTTTTTGCTTAGCGCAAATGCTATCCGCGGCAAGCGACGACTGTTTCGCTGCGAAGCGTCGCGCGCGCGATGTCGATGGCTATTTTCTCGACCTGCGCGAGTGTGAAATCGTTTCGATACTTTTCCTCGATAGTTTCTTCTTCAGAAATGTCTACAGAATCGGATGAAGTAGTCAGTTTCAATGGTAGATAAAGAACTTTTCGTAAACGTGCAAATATATCGCGTAGGAAAACACGTTGTCTCCAATTCCTAGAATTTTTAACGGTTGTTCAACAGTACTCGGAAGCGTAAAATATTGTAAATATCGGATGCTGACACATTCAGGAATCTCTCCGCTGTCTTTCGAGAACAATTAGAGCGTCCAATCGTTTTTTTAGTTTTCACGTAATATCTTACTTTTGGTAAAAATTGAACGTCTCTAGAGAAATTCGAATTTTTCGAAAACTGTGGGCGATGCAGCAATTTCGCTTTCGGATTCGTGTTTGGATAGTGGTTCCCTGTAAGGATCGCCCATTGAATATCACGAAACAAAATCGTTTTGCGCAGGGTAATCTGTCCGGACCAGGCCGGTCCGAGAACTGCCCGCTGGTATGTTCCGGCCCAAATTGTTTGTTTGCTCTCCTCTTCACTCTTTTTAGTGTCAAGACAGTTCCTATGGAAGTCGCGATGATGAAAACCGTGGGGAATCCAAAGTCAGCAGCGACGTTGAAGCCAATTTATATATATATTGTCTTCTCTAGTTGGGTCATGAACCTCCCATAATAAAGTGCAAGATATATTTAAAATATCTTGGCCATACTTTACCCAACAATTGTGGGCGGAGGGATCAGGCAAAGCCTGTAGGCCTGGAAAGTATGATGGCTGTCTAATTAAACGTAGATCAACGGTGGAAACGAAAATATGGGATTTGTTCTTGAAGAAATGTGTGTGTGATATTCTCTTCTTCGAAAAGTCTGTTGCAACACGATTTTCTGCCGAATCCTATTTCAATAGAGGAATTACTCGAAACGTTATATCATAACCTATATTCTAACCTATTTTAATAACCTATATCATAACCTTGTTCACTAGTTGGCGATAACATTACCAATGTAAACAAATCGTCAGCAATATAACAGTTGCACAAATAGGCGGGAAATTGTAAATTGTAACTGTCGAGTCTGCGCGAGGTGGACCGAAGAGTCGGCACACGTATCCATACGCGACGAAGCGTGGAGACAAAGAGAACGATCGTTCTCGAGACGACGGTTCGCATGGCCGCTCGATCGTTCTCTTGTTTCGCGAGCGCCTTGAGGCCTCGGCCCAAGGGTGTACTATTGAGAGCCGAAGAGAAGGCGTCTGGAAAAAAATGCGTGTACTATCGGCTGGAACGCGTGGCTCCATCTCTCGACCAGGGCTCGGACTTAAACGACGCGAGGATTGCGAGGGCTACGCCTATGCTACTAGTATACTACTCACCTACACACACGTGACGCGCGACGGGAGTCAGGAGGCGTGGCCATCGCGGTCCGAATGTTGCGTGCAGGTTAATTCCGAGCCTTGGTCTCTAGCCCAGTGATGGCGAGCCTATGACCCGCGGAGCCTCTTTAAATTTGTAGATCTTGATAAACTTTCTTTTTATATCATAAAAGATAGAAGAGACAATCAAAAATATTAAAAAAATTAAAACTAATGTCGAATTTATAAATGGAGGTGGAAGTTGCGCCCGTGAAAAACCTGGTAGGACTTCTTGTCAGTTCTCGATACAGAATAAACAAAATACATGAATAGAATAATAGAATAATAATAGAATAATAAACCAGAATAAACAATAATTGAAATAAGAGATAATAAATTACTTCTTGCTGGTATTTTTCAATCGACTTAAGATGGTCTACACTCCCAAACAAACGAATAGCACGCGCGTGCTACCTTTAATTTCTTAGCGATATAATTGTAATAAGGTAAACATTTTGTAATGCCCGTAAAGAGTGCTGTAATTTCTCTTTGCTGACTATAAAAAGTATAAAAATAATCGTATCTCTACTTCCTAAGTGGTCCATTTTTCTGCGCAATCTGAGCGCGAATTAGGGAGAAATTACTGTTATCTTGTATACAGGGTGTTCCAAAATTATTAAACAAGCGAGAAATGAAGGGTTCCTGATTGAAGTAACTTTTTCCTTAGCGAAAATGCGATCCGCGGCTTCGTTTACGAGTTATTAACGAAAAACGCCGACGAATGAGAAGCAAGATCAGCTGTCGCGAGGCGGCCGTGCCAATGAGTGGAACTGGGCTTCGCGCGCTCGTTGGCTGGGCCGCCTAGCGTCAGCCGAGCTCGCTTCTCCTTGGTCAGCGTTTTCCGTTAATAACTCGTAAACGGTGCCTCGGAAAAAATTTGTGTAAAGGAAGAAATTGCTTAGAATGATCTCAAGAACCTCTCATTTCTCGCTTGTACAATAATTTTGGTACACCCTGTAGAGATACGTAAACTTGTCTGGATTTCTTGTACAATTAATCATTAATATGAATCGACGCGGATAAAATGATAGCGTATTTAGAAAACATAAGTATATATTTCGTATAATATAACACTCTCCTCTCTCCAAAAAATGTATATGGAATGTAATGTAAATGTAAAAAAACACAAGTTGTTGTGTTCGGTTTGGACGAAATGTTTCCAACAAATTGACCGACAAAGAAGCCTCCACGTCAATGTACACACTCAAACAAGTATGCACAAGATATTGATGCAAAACAATTAAAACAATAAAGTAAAAATAAAATAAAGTAAAAAGACGTTTAGATGGACCGATATATGTAGTTTGGAATGCGTCGCTCGTCCCAGAAAAGTCCCTTTCCCAGACGGGGTTCCGGAGGATCCGGGATAATTTACGACAGTGTCGACGATTGTTCAACTGCAATTATACGAACTATTTTTTATTTTCTATACATGTATTCTAGTATTTCTTTTTATTAAGTGTTTATATCTTTTCCAATCAATCAAGCAATCAAAAAGTTATTGATAAACCGTTGATAAAAACTCCAAGAAATATTAACCCACTCACTTTTTATAAAAATCACATATATGCGAAGTTGATGTAATAAATAAAACTGAAATCGACGCGATATATAAACCCAAACTAACCATAAAAATATCAAAGCCCCCCAAAAATGTGGATCCATTGGAACGAATTAACCTTGACATAACCTTATTTAACAGAGCTATGCAACAGAGGAAATTTGAAGCAACTTCTTCCTTTACAAAAATTTTCTCCGCGCGAGGCGGCCCTGCCAACGCGCGCACGAAGCCCAGTTACGCTCACTGGCTCAGCCGCCTCGTGCCAGCCGAGCTCGCTTCTCATTGGTCAGCGTTTTCCGTTAATAACTCGTAAACGGTGCCTCGGAGAAAATTTTTGTAAAGGAAAAAGTTGCTTCAAATGACCTCAGGAACCCTCATTTCCGGATTGCGAGACATTTTTGAGATAGTTACCTGGCATAGGTACTAGTGATGTAGTCCCACGTGGCCCCCGCTGAACAACTCTGATCTACTCTATCAATTGTTTCGGCGCCCCGCGCAGTGGCGTGGGACATCTACCGAGCGGACATTACAATTCTAAAACGCGATCAGGCTGCGCGGGTCAGTGTTTGACCCGCGGGTCATAGGTTCGCCATCACTGGGCTAGACCAAGGCTCGGAATTAAGCAGCACGCAACATTCGGACCGCGATGGCCACGCCTCCTGACTCCCGTCGCGCGTCACGCCCTCTTGCCCTGGTCCGCTTTCGGATCGGAACACCTCAGATGCGTGTACCTATTGCCGTATATGCGTATATATCTGTAGGTGAGTAGTATACTAGTAGCATAGGCGTAGCCCTCGCGGTCCTCGCGTCGCGTGCAGCTTAATTCCGAGCCCCGGTCGAGAGATGGAGCCACGCGTTCCAGCCGATCGTACACGCATTTTTTCCAGACGCCTTCTCGTCGGCTCTCAATAGTACACCCTTGGGCCGAGGGCCTCATGGCGCTCGCGAAACAAGAGAACGATCGAGCGGCCATGCGGCACACGACTCCACGCTTCGTCGCTTCTGGAGTCGTGTGCCGACTCTTACCGTCCACCTCGCGCAGACTCAACAGTTACAACTTACAATCTCCCGCCTATTTATGCAACGGTCACTTTGCCGACGATTTGTTTACATTGGTGACGTTATCGCCAACTAGTGAACAAAATGTAGAATGCTATAACGTTGAACCGAATTTCTCTGTTTAAATAGGATTTGGCAGGATATCGTGTTGCCACAGATATTCTTGGTGAAAAGATTTAGAAGCTTCCAAGTACAAAGTGCAAAATATAATGCACACATCGTGTATAAACAAACGAGAGCTGAAAAGAAGACGGAACATTGTTGAATACATCTATTACTATTATTATTTATCTTTATTATTATTTGTTATCATTTATCTTTGTTATTATTATTTTTTATTATTATTTATCTTTATTATTATCTATTATTTATTTATTATTATTTATCTTTGTTATTCATTTTTTCCAGATTAAATTTCATATTCTCTTTTCGTTCGTTGATCTGCCGTTAAGAGGACAGTCATCATACTTTCCAGGCCTACAGGCTTTGCCTGTCCTTTCCTACTACAATTGGTTGGGTAAAGTATGGCCAAGATATTTTAGACATATCTTGCACTTTATTATGGGAGGTTCATGACCCAACAAGAGAAGACAATATATATTTAAATTGGCTTCATCGTCGCTGCTGACTTTGGATTCCCCACGTTTTTTATCATCGCGACTTCCATAGGAACTGTCTTGACACTAAAAACGGTGAAAAGAGGAGCAGACAAACCATTTGGACCGGAACATACCAACCGGACAGTTCTCGGACCGACCCGGTTCGAACAGATTACACTGCTCAGCTCGATCTTCTTTTGTAATATTCAACGAGCGATCCTCGCAGGGAGCCGCCACCCAAACACGAATCCGAAAGCGAAATTGGTGTGCCATCCACGGTTTTCGAAAAATTCGGGTTTCTATAAAGACTTCCAATTTTTAACAAAAGTAAGATATTACGTGAAAACTGAGAACGTTAGGTAGGTCTAATTGCTCTCGAAAGACAGAGCGTAGATTTCAGAATATATCAGAATCGATATTTCGGATATTTTATGCTTCTAGGTACTGTTGAACGACCGTTAAACATTGTAAGAGTCGCAAACAACGGTATTTTCTACGCGATATATTTGCATGTCCACGGAAAGTTCTTTATCTACCATTGAAACTGACTACTTCATCCGATTCTGTAGACATTTCTGAAGAAGAAACTATCGAGGAAAAGTATCGAAATGGTTTTGCACTCGCGCAGGTCGAGAAAATATCCGCCGACATCGCCTGCGCGACGCTTTGCAGCGAAGCAGTCGTCGCTTGCCGGGGATAGCATTTACGCTAAGCAAAAAGTTACTTCGAACGACCCCTGGCATCAGCCCTTTCACGGGATCAAGTACCTTTCCGGACAACCTATTACCAAGATAGGCCTCTAATATAATAATAGAATAATATATAATATATTAAGTAAATTATAATACATGTAAGAGACGAGCGAGGATGTCTCATAATTAATTGTACCAGCGGGAAATGAGAGGTTCCTGAGGTGATTCGAAGTAACTTTTTCCTTAGCGAAAATGTTCTACAAGGATTCGTTTACGAGTTATTAAGGAAAAACGCTGAACAATGAGAGGTCGCGTACGGCTGACGCTCCGCCCTCGCGACCACTCCCGCTGCGTCAGACGCTCCGCCCTCGCAACCACTCCCGCTGCGTCAGCCGGCCAGCGCGACGCGGCATCAGTCGCGAGGACGGAGCGCCGCTCGTGCACGCCTTTTATTGGTCACGCCCATGAAAAAACGCTCAGACGTTTCCAGAGAGTCGAACGATTTCACTTGGACGTTTTCATCCGCGACGTTTTTCAAGTCGCGAGCGGTATTCAAGTTTCCTTTTACGTGTTGTTCCTACGTCGGCAACAGAGTGATTATTGTGCTTCTACATCATGGAACATCTACATCGTCGAAGCTGCTGTGCGCAATAAAAATGGGACTGGTTGCTTCCTAGCCACCAATGCCAACGGTACGGAAGAAGAAACAGAATCGCAATATGTATCTCCTGCCATACGACCTTTTTGACAGCTCCGACGAGGACCCGGTTACAGTATGTAAATCTAAGAAAGTCGACAAAGATAACCGAGAGAAGGTCACATGGAACCCCATAAACACTCAGCGTCTCAACCCCATAGGAACAGAAACACATCCACAATATTATCCGAGAATTTTCAGAGAGCTTTTATCTGCCTGAAGACAACCTGGGTAACGTATTTAATTTTCATCACTCCATCCATGTAACTGACAAAGTCCTAATCAATACATGAGACACTAACGGTATCCTGTGATTCGTCAGCAAGAAGTCCAACGACAAGTGGGACACTCTGTTGTCTCAGGGAATCATTAAACGCTCTACCTCACCGTACAATGCACCTTTGTGGATCGTACCTAAAAAACCTGACGCAGATGGTGACAGACGTTGGCGGATGGTTATCGACGTCCGAGTACCGAACGAGAGAACCGTTAGTGAGAAATATCCTTTACCTCCAATGAATGAAGTCTTGGACCAACCTGGAGGTGCGAAATATTCCGCAGTATCCGATGTGGCCAATTCGGTTTCACCGAATCAAAATGAATCCCGAGGATCAGCCGAAGACTACGTTTACCACTCCGTTCGGACATTTCGGGTTCGCTGGTATGCCATTTGGATTAAAAAATGCACCTGCTACGTTCCAACGACCAATGGATCAAGCTCCGACCGGCGTTCGTCCGGCTGAAATTAAAAGTTGGGATCACTTTCAGGATAGGACGCCGGTACCACACAATCTTTCCCGCAGCGAGGAAAATGAAGACGAAGTGTCTTACGGACCTCTGGACGGAGTGAATCCCGAAGATTATCCAGACGTGTGCAAGGACCTCCTGAGATGCCAATGCATAAAGAGAGTCCAATCCGTGTTCGAAGCTGAGGGACGCAAACTATGCGAAGAACGTTGGTGCCGACTAGCATCAGAAGACGGAGAGTTATTCCCTGCAGGCTGCTGGCTTATAATAACAACAAGCCGCATCAATCAGGCAGATCGTTGTTGCCAGGGCTGCGATTAATATTAGAAACATGGAACGCTGGCGAATGTCCGGAATGCAACGAAGAATATTTCGAGATGCAACCGGAGACAATAGAAGAATTCTGAAATGGCAAGGTCATAGATGCAGTCACCCGGTGGTAAATAGTTGTAGGAGATAACCGAGGGAAGATCATATGGAACACCCTTAAATACTGAGAGTCTCAACCCCGAGGAACAGAAATATAGGACATTATATATATTAATATATATTATATTATATATATTATATATAATATAGGATATTATATTATATTGTCCGAGAATGTTCAGAGAGGTTTTATTTGCCTGAAGACAACGCATCTAATTTTCATCACTCCATCCATGCAACTGACAAAGTCCTAATCAATACACTACTCTATATCTTGTGATCCATCAGCAAGAAGTCCAACGACAAGTGGAAACTCTGTTGTCCCAGGGAACTATTAAACGCTCAACCTCGCCATACAATGCATCTCTGTGGATTGTACCTAAAAAACCTGACGCAGATGGCAACAGACGTTGGCGAATAGCTATTGACTTCCGAGCATCAAGAGCTTTAATAAGATAAAATTGATATCAGCCGTCAAGATGTTGAGCCTTACTTCATGCCCAATGATGAGCACGTTGCCAACGGCATCGAGGGGACAATCCGCAATCACGCTGATAAACATTCACTTCGTCAGCCCTGTCTTGCAAACCCATTGCAGTGAACGCTGTGTATCATATTAGAAAAAGATGTAACGGGTCTCTCTCAGGAAAAGGACAATGCTCTCGCGGCCAATGATAAGAACGTGCTCAACGGCTTCGCGAAGCCGAAGTGCTAAGTTTTACACAAAAGTTAAAACAGCGATAGCTTAGTACGTTCGAGGAGGAGTTATGCATATTTAAGCGAGTACAACGGATGGTTGCTCAAGCAGTTTTTCAAGTGAAATTGTTTGTTCAAATAAATCTATACCTATGTATTGATGTCGACGGAAGTCGACCTCTGAAGGACACAACAAGGGCATGATTTTTTTATTTTTTATTTTTTGTTTCGCAGAATTTTCGATGCTCAATAAAATTTCTAATGAAATCCATATGGAAGAAATATATTTGAAACTTTGAGCACAATCAGTACAAAAAAATTGTTTAATCATGCCATAGTACATATATCGAGGTCGATGCAAGCCGATCTCTGAATGATATACCCAAGAAGGTGGTAAGTAAATATATATATTATTTACAAACGGACTATTTAAATGGCATGATCTTTTTAAAAATTTGTATTTTCTACTTTTTGTTTTAGAATTTCCAGACCTCTACTCCAGACCTCATTTTTAAGGATGAAGGGTAACTAAATAAATTAATTACTAATAGACATTTTTTACTAATTATTTTTTTACAGTATTCATTGCTGGAATAAATTGCTGAACTTCGTTGCTGGAATGCAATTCGTAAGACAGTGGCGCAGAGCGTTTAGAAAATTCCAAATTGAAGACGAGAATTCGATTGAAGAATATGTGAGTTCGATACACCCACTTTTTCTTTAGTATCTTTTTTATTACTTTTAATTATTATTTTTAACTATTAATTATTATTTCTTTTGTTACAGATTTGATCCACATCGTTACTATTATTGCATATTTTTTAATTTTACTTAATTAACGATCTTTATTACATTTTTTTATTTTACTTAATCATTTCACACAACATTTCTTTTCTTTTATTATTTCTATAATATTCTGCTAAGCCACGTAAAAAGTTTATTTACTTACTATGTCTTCGAATACGTTTTTAAGTTCCTATTGGTCCTGATAATAATACTTTTCTTCCACTCGGATTTCATTCTTAGTTATTTTATAGAGCTTTGAAAACTCTGCGAAACAAAAAGTAAAAAATAAAAAACTTTCAAAAAAAGTCATGCCGTTTAAATTATCCGTTCGTAAATAATAGTATTCTCATTTACCATCTCCTCGAGCACGCCCTTCAGAGGTCAACTTGCATCGACCTCGATATATAGATCTGGATTTATATGAACAAACATTTTCATTTCAAAAACTGGTTCACCAGCGTCCATCGCACACATTTAAATATGCACAAGACCTCCTCATATGTTCTAGCTATCGCTGTCTAACTTTTTTGTAAAACTCGACGTCTTAGCACTTTATCTTCGCGAAGCCGTCGTGCACGTTCTTACCATTGGACGTGAGGACATTGTCCTTTTTCTGAGAGAGACCCGTTACATCTTCTTCTCGTATGATACATAACGTTCGCGGCAACGGGTTTGCGAGATAGGTCTGATGATGCGAATGTATAGCAGCGTTCTTGCAGATTGCCTTCGCGATGCCGTTGGCAACGTCCTCATCATTGGGCATGAAGTAAGACTTAATGTCTTGGCGGCTGAAATCATTTTTACCGTATTGAAGCTCTTGATGCTCGGAAGTCAATAGCTATTCGCCAACGTCTGTTGCCATCTGCGTCAGGTTTTTTAGGTACGATCCACAAAGGCAAATTGTATGGTTTAGGTTTAGCGTTTAATAGTTCCCTGGGACAACAGAGTGTTTCCACTTGTCGTTGGACTTCTTGCTGATGGGTTATCACAAGGGTAAAATCGCATTGTCTCGTATCGATTGGGTCTTCCTCAATTCCATGGTTGGAGTGATGAGAATTAGACACGTTATCCATGTTGTCTTCAGAGACAAATAAAACCTCTCTGAACATTCTCGGATAATACCCGCCCGGAAATGGCAGGTTCCTCGGATCATTTGAAGCAACTTCTTCCTTTACAAAAATGTTCTTCGAGGCACCGTTAACGAGTTATTAACGAAAAACAGTGACCAATAAGAATCGAGTACGGCTGACGCGAGGCGGCCCAGCCAACCAGCGCACGAAGCCCAGTTCCGCTCATTGGCTCGGTCGCCTCGCGCCAGCTGAGCTCGCCTCTCATTGGTCACTGTTTTTCGTTAATAATATTTCAAATGGCCTCAGGAACGCCCCATTTCCGGACTGCGAGATATTCTTGGAACACCCTGTATATACATTCTAAAAGTTGTCAGACTTCTATTTTACACTTATAACCTTATACAACCTTGACGAATTAATTTATCGAATCGTATAGCATTTCGATAATACACGATCATATCGTTAACCAATATATCTTCCGCAGAAAATGTAAAAATAATCACAACGATAGTTATTTAATTATATTAGTATAATAATGGTAATATTATATTAATATTTAATTATATACAGTATTAGTTATTTTACTGTAACATAAGATAAAAGAGGCAAGTAGCCTAAGTAACGACCACAATAACTACATGTAAAGATTAATTAATATTAGCACACTCTGGTTAGGCTACACACACACACACACACGCGCGCGCGCGCGCGCGCGCGGAGAGAGAGAGAGAGAGAGAGAGAAATAGAAGGGTGAGAAAACTTTCTGAACCAATCTGTACGTTTTGATCAAACTTCAACTGAACTAATCGTTTGGTAAAAATATCTGCAAGTTAACCGAACCTTAAAATAACCTTAAACCTTAAAATAACTTTAAACCATAAAATAAACTTAAACCTTAAAGTAACCATAAAATAACCTCGAAATAACTTTACAATAATTAAATCTTAATCTTAAAATAACACTTCTTTGGTTCCTTCACAGCAAGCTATAAATTCGGCTTCGGTAATTCATGATTGCATTTAACTAATTTCTCGCAAAGTTCACATATCTACTACGTGAACACGCTACGTGTTCAAACACGTTATAGAACTGGGCCTATTAATCTGTACTTATTTTATTGCAACGCAAGGTGAAAAACGTAAGTAGGTTTAATAACAATTTATTTATATGTTTAATATATATGTATATAAAGTCACAATAACTATGTGTACTGCACGACATCACTACTCGACATCCCCCCCCCCCACATACACAAACACAAAACTCCGTTACACAGCAGACAAAAGAACATTCTAGAAAACAAACCTACAAAGTTACCCACTTTCCAACGCCAAGAACTGTATTCTACTAGCAAAAGAAGCTTCTACCTCGTAGAGTAGTGTCACTGAAAGTGTTCCCTGTATCAATCCACAGGCAAAGCCTCTTCAGCAACCGTGCCCATGATAACATATTTGCTGTCCAATTGCTCTGTATATTACAACCCGACATCTGCGCGGGCCTAAACAATCAGTTCAAGAAATCTACACAGAAAATATTCAGCAGAGAGCAGCACAGGTGTCGAAACGAGGCGTTGACGTTGGTCGTCCTGGATAGGCAGGTTCGGCGAAACTAAGGACTGTCGAAGTTGTTACGAGCCGAGGACTAATTACCCGAGTAAAGAAGTTGTGGAGAAGTATAATTTTTATTTCGGTATGTATATATAATAGTATTATATATATAATAGTATTTATACCCCCCTTCCCCCTGTGTACAAGGGGGTGGGGGGTTATAAAAATGAATATATATTCATTTATTGATGCCAAGAAATCGATGGTAGCCTTGCGGTTAATTTGGCTAATTTGTCTTACCGCAGAGATCGTCTGATTATTTAACGATCCTGCTGTAATTCAGAGATCTCCTGATTATTGGGCGACCCTCCTGGAACGAGTCGGGATAATTTAATTTCTTTTACCTTGCGCTACGTTCCGAACTATATTTCTTTTATGTTATTCTTTTTGTTTTTTTTTTAAATGTTCCTTCATTTACTGTCCCTAAACGCTCATCGAGATTACCGACAAACATTTCATGATTTTCTCGTTAGAGGTCGCGCGAAGGTCAACATGTTGCACCACGTTGGATCTGTTTTTTTATATGCTATAAGACTGCGGTAGTGAAAATATATGGTCTCATTTAAAAAAAATACGATCACCTTAAAATCTCGAAGAAAATGATCTTGAGAAAATTCGGCCCATCACCGTATTGGCGCCTTTGAACAGAATATTTTTCTCCTCATGACATTTTTTCTATCATAGAAAATAAGCGATATATTTAAGGTGGTCGTTAGGTGAAATACCTTGTATAACGCATTCGTTCCTTGAAATCAACGTGGTCCAAACGTAAATGTAAACCGAACCTTCTGTAACGAACGTTCACTCGCGATTACAATCATCAATTTTTAGCACTCATGCCAGTCATGTGTCTGCAATAGCAAATTGTAAGACAGAAAGACTTTATATTCAGGTTAAACGAAACAAATTCATTTATATTCCAAATATATTTATTCATTGTATATATAAAAAAGATTTATCTAGCACTGCGAACTATTAATATATAACATCTATTACAATACAATAATATTATAATAATCTCTGTTACATTTGTATATGTCGAGCGTTAACGACCGGAGAATCCGCGAGCTAGTTACGATTTCCTCCGAGATCACAATAGCTGATCGATGCACACGGACTCTTCTGTGTGCGTTAACTCCACACACGTCGAACGTGTGCGTGCGTGAGCGACCAGTGCACTCTGGGAAAAGTGGCTGCGCGTGGAGTGGGGGTAGCCGGCGCATGCACGGGAGTTCCCGCACAGCGGCGCGTCTACCGGGCAAAATCTGAACTACGATGGCGACATGACGCAGAGCTGCAGATACAATGCAATAAAACATAAAATGACTCACACCGCTGGGCGGGACTCGCACGCATGCGTAGCCTACACTGGTGGCGATTCGTAACCGATCAACCTGCGCAGTTACTCCCTTGTCGTATCGTTATCTTCGCAATTGCAACGATTAGAAGTTTCCCGATTATATTTTCATTTCTTTGCAAAAGAAAAAAGGAAACGTTTATTTATCGCCTGTATGTATTTACTTGAATAACTAAATATTGAAGCCAATAGAATGGAATTTTATTCCGATTTAAAGGAACAGAATAAAATTCGTGGTGTAGCTAAGGACACGGTATTATGTTATAATAATAATAATTATTATTATATATATAATAATTATAAATAATAATATGTTATAATTATAACGGAAATAATTGTAGAGTTTAGGTTATGTCAATAATCTGACATGGTTATGTCAGAATAGTTTGTAAAATCAACTATGTCTACAATCGTGGATGGACCATCGGCTAGAGAATGCGCGATGGAAACGGCGATACCAAGAGATGGTGACACGACGGCGACGATATGGGTCCACGGAACCTGCAAGACTTGACCACGTGTTGCTTAAGAAGATCCTGCGGGACAAGCGTTCACGAGCGGTACGAAGGATGAGAACTGGTCGCAAGGCTGGTCGAGAACGGCACGGACATGGACGACATCTTTGGCAAGGGTACCGAGTTGAAGATGTCGAGGCTACGTCTCGAGCTGCTGGAGAGAGGGGGCAGTGCTGATGCAGCGTGAAGTGGGCCTCGTGCGCCAAGTTCAAGTTATGACATAACCTGGCAGCGGTCTACGGGAGAAGAGGCGACCTCGGAGACCTCGGAGACCGCCCACGTGGGTATCACAGCGATCGCGAAGCCTCGGAATCGTTTCGATCGTTCAGGAAATTCGTTCGATAATTGGACGAGACAATTCCGGCTCCTTCAGGACATATGCGACGTTTCGAAACGAACGCCGATCTGCTGGAACCGTTTGGAAAAATTACGGAGGCACAAGATCCGACGAGCGGCGCAACGAAAAACGGTGCACCAACTGCGGTGCCCTCGGTGCCCCGCCCAGAAACGGTGCACCAACTGCGGTGCGCGCGGTGCCCCACCGAGAAACGGTGCACCAACTGCGGTGCGCGCGGTGCCCCGCCCAGAAACGGTGCACCAACTGCGGTGCCCGCGGTGCCCCGCCCAGGAGAAGGCTCGCAAGTGTTACCAATGCATTAAGTACGCAATGAGTATGCAATGAGTACCACATTTCGCGCTATTGCCCTACAAATAAATTCACCACGAAAGACCCGCCGACGGGAGAAGTGGTCACGAGAGAAACGCTCCCCCCGGGGTCATGACGTCGACGGAAAAGAAATTCTGAAGGAATTATATTAATAATTATATTAATAATTATACCTTAGTCGACACACATGGATACGAACCGCTACGTTTCCTTGATCCGCTTGGACGCTGGTTGGACTCGGAAGAACTTCGAACGCACAGACGATTCAACATGAACGTTGTAATGAGACGGAACGATGACACGAGAGCTCTGAGCTCGAAGCTCCTGGCGATCCTACGGATCCGTTGGACCCAGCAGCGCAACGACGACGACGAAGACACCTGCTACAGAAAGTGGACGACGACCTAAAGATCCCTAAAGGTCCCGCGGCCCATATCGCATGCAAAGCGCATGAGCACTGGACGAGCGATGGACCGACCCGACGACGAGAGCCACGACGACGAGGGCGACAAAGCAAAAATGATAAGGCATCTGGGGCCGTGTGCCTTTTCAGGATGACCGAGTGTACATAAAAGCCGAAGGTTAGCGATCGGAGAATCCGCGAGCTAGTTAGGAGATCTTGGAACGACCTTTGAAATCGCAATAGCTGATCGGTGCTCGCGGACTCTCCTGCGCGACCAGTGGACTCACAAAAAGTGGCTACGCAAGGAGTGGGGATAGGCGGCGCATGCGCTACTAATTTACCGAGTGAATTCTTTAGGTGCCACCCTGTAGACACACCGCACCGCTGGGCGGGACTCCCGCGCATGCGTAGCCTGCCCCTACTCTTTGCGTAGCTTCGCTTCGTGTGACTACCCCTTGCCATATCGTTATCTTCACAATTGCAACGATTAGAACTTCTTTGATTGCAATCATTTCTTTGCAAAAAAAAGATGTTTATTTATTGTGTGCTTGCATTTACTGGAATAACTAAATATTGAGACCAATAGAATGGAATATTCCGATTTATTATGACTAGAATGATTCTATCACGAGTTGGACTTGTGAAAATACGGCAAGGGTTTAACGATTACTATTACGAGGATGGCTACAAAATTGATCAGGATTACGGTTTATGGATAGGATAAGGACACGGTATTATAACAAGCGGCTTTTGTGGACCGGTTCACGATTTTCGATTTCCGATAACTGAAATAATTATAAGTTATATATATATATATAATATATATAATTATAAGAGCTAAATTCAGTTCAGCAAGAAATAAAAGAACTTCTGAAACCAACTGGCTCTACAGATTTATTAATGATTTATAACGTGCATCCCTTTTTTTTCTCAGTCACGAGATATCCAGAGTCTCCATATACAGAAGAATTACAATATCTGTAACAATATTACATACCGTAGGCCTCGCTTTGTATATCGCGAGACAAGTTACCTTTCACAGGGGTACGACGACGAACGCTCTGGAAGCGGGGCACATACGGACACCCCCCACTACCATTTCTCAAAGGCCCAAACGGGACCAGAAAACGGACTAGTTCCAAGTCAGCTATCAACGTTACAAGGTTATAAGCCGCCGCCGATTCATTGCGACAAACTGAGAGCACGATACAACAAATACACTCAATACAATTGTGTATTAGACTAAAAAGCTTGTAACATACTATCTTTTACCAATCTACTTTGGTTGTAAAATTCAATTATTCCATTTTCTGGTTCGAAGCAGTAATTGGTACAAACCTACAGAGACATACATTTACCGCTCGAGGTGTAACTTCATTTCTTCTTGTGAAAGAACGAAACTAGTGCACACGGAGTTACCCGCTCATTTGCGATTATACAGGGTATTCCATAATTATTGTACAAACAGAAAATGAGTAGTTCCTGGAAGTGATTTGAAGTAACTTCTTCTCCTTAGCGAAAATGCGATCCGCGGCTTCGTTTGCGAGTTCTTAACGAAAAACAGTGATGATATCACTGTTTAATCATCACCAATAAGATGATGAAATCGAGATATCGTCGTTGCTGTTTCCAGGGACGATAGATTCCAACTGCTACGCCCACGGTTAAATTCCCAAAATCACCTGTTTCTGGTATTTATCCATATGCTCTTGGGGAAATCATGAAAAACCCCAAAAGAGAGAGAGAGAGAGAGAGAGAGAGAGAGAATGAACTCAGGGTCGAGCGAAACTACCTGTAAAGGCAGCGGTGAACATTACTATGAATACATTGTAGTGCTAGAATAAAAAATATATAAATATGTAATAAAAAATATATATATATAATAGAATAAAAAAGATATCGAAGTCATTGTCGTTATTGTTGTCGTAGTTGTTATTCGTTCTTTATTCGTTCATTATTTTGTAAATGAACTGTTACTGCTACTGTTATTGAAATCGTGAGTGTTAGATTTGTTTTACCACAGAGCCTCGTAGGATTTCCTAAAATAATCCCTGCAATACGTTGTTTGGTGAGTTTCGTTGAGTCAAGGAGGAACCATCAAAACCAGGACGTTAGTAATCTCTCTGTTCACCTCTGGTGGAAGTAAAAGAATTTGTCAACAGAATTCTATAAAATACATTTATTTATTTTCGCAATCTATAAAATGTAAGCAGAATAAATGTAGACTAACATCTTTTGTAAGTATAAAAATACTGTATAACAATAATTATCTTATAGATAATAGTGTCTCTATGGTTAATTCAAGTAGCCTTTATACTGTGCATCATGTACGAAGAAAATCCCAAATGTAGGTCACAAACAATATCATCAACAAAATCGAACAGATTTTCAATAATTTTAGTTAATAAGTCGTACAGGAAAGGATTGCCTTTCAAAGGAGCACATGCCTTAGTGGCACTTCCTCTTAGATTCGCCTTGGAATACTCCCACAAAAACTTAATAGCATCCGATAGGCAACTCGCAGGATCAAAGTTATTCTGCACCACTTTTGTGGCAACTTTGAACATCATTCTAAGAATTGACATAGCATTATCCATAAAGGCCATTTCATTAAACATACTACTAAACTGCTTAACGTCATAAGATTGTGTCTTCGACGTAGACGGTTTATCCCAATAGAATTCTCTCAATAAATCCTTGACCGAAGTTGTCAATCCAGCCACTATCTGCTTATTGAGTGGTGATGATTCAGGATTTACAAGAGATATCACGCCACTGGTTAACAATTCTTGTGCCACTACAAAAGGATCTAACAGAGTGATGCCATTCAGTAAGACCATGCCATCGAAGAAGATTGACTGGTAACTTTTATTTCTAGCTATTTTGCTGAAAGTGTTCAGAAACTCGGTTCCACTGGTAATTTTCTTAAGATTGTGTATTATCCCTGTAGAACTACTCTTATTGCCAAGAACTCTGGCGTATTCTTGCTCAAAGCGGTCGGAACGTAAGAAGTTCTTGAATTTCTCAAGGACAGTGCCTCTGGATGCTCCTATAAGCTCGCTAGCAAGTTTGCTCTTTATTAAAGAGTTGCTGAAAAATAGAATGTGCGAACTGAACAACATCACGTCGAGAATGTTGACTTTCTTCTGCGTTTGGTACTGATCAATTAAACGGTATCCTTCGAAAGCTATGCCACATCCACTAACTGCAAGATTACTTATTACCACTGAATTGAAGGTCACTTTGGCTATGTCACCAATACGAGCCCCTCTGGCGATAGCTTTCGTCATAAGCATGGCTCCACCATTTGTACCAATAGCTAAAGCCGAACTGGCTATTCCAAAATATGCAGACAAGGCATCGCCATTAGTGGGACTTATAGATTCTACGTGGTTAGATCGATCTACTAATCTCCCTATGCTTCGTCCAATGTTCCATGCTCCGCTTACAGCGCAGCCAATTAAACTTGCACCAGCTAATATAGGTCCAACAGGAGTAAGCAACGATGCCACTCCAAGTCCTATAGTTGAACCAATACCTACAACACTGGAAGAAATGTCAACTACTTTGAGGACAGCTTTGACAGCCTTACAGGAAGGCGATGGTAAGATCTGAATCCATACAGTCGAAGACCACTTGGTAACTGGAAGATATGGATTGCATTGATAGATTCCTTCTTTTGGTATAATCATCATACATTTTGGCAGTGTATTATTCTCCAAATAATCTTCCCAGTTTTTATATACTCTGGCATCATTATCAATATACAATATAGTATCTTTTAATTTTAATTTGAAAATAGGTAATACAAATGTCCTATTCAAGCAGTTATCAGAACTATTTGTTAAATTTTTTGGTTGTTCGTGATCAAATACCACAATATATATGATACCAACTTGAATGAAATTATTGCCTCCGTTAGACTGGAGTATCTTTTTATATATTTTGGTAATGGTTTTACATGCATCTTTATTATATCCTTTAAACGTGCATAAATCAGCATTATCGTTATTAAGTTCTTTATGTTCATCATAGTCAGGGGGGCCATATAGTGCAAATCCAATTCTTTCATATATATAAGTACGATCTGTGTAACCGTATAAGAACCAGTCAGGAAGAAGTTCATAAAAAAATTGATGATATTTCACTGCAAAGTCTTTCACCTACATTAAAATATTCTAATATTATGACATATTCAGTTTAAAAAATGAAACTAAATAAAACGTTTACCTGCTGATTCATTTCGAATTATTCGTGAAGTTTTCTACGCACTGAAAATAAAATAGATTCTTGATCCACAATCTCAACAACAGATCGTACAACTAAAAAAACTCCATAGAATTATAAGATTATTTTCACACCGATCGTTCTCTAATGTACAGAATCTGATTACGATCTAACCATGTGTGGGTTATCTGATATAACTTTATGCAGAAATTATATATGTATAATGTAACTTTCAGGCAGGCCTCTCAGTTTTCTGACCCAGGAATTCTGCTCAGAATTTGCTCCAAGTGGCGGAGTAGAAGATAGTTAGTTAGTCCTCCTCCACATCTCCAGGACGCAACTGGATTCGTTAGCGAGTGTCGATATAAAAGTTTTCTTTGCCCTAATTGACTGATGATTCACTGTTGAGACAGGATCCACTGCATATTGGATACCCAGTAAAACAATGGGGGTAACCTAACTTTCTCTGTGAACTTTAAAATTGGAATACAGGTACTTCACGCAGTAAGAAAACAAAAGATCAACGGTGTCATTCCACGTTAAAACCGATCACTTTTTTCCCTTGATGTTTGGGATTTTGTTGAAACTAAAATATGATGTAGTTCACATGATATTAAGGGGGGCTTAAGTCATTATTTTTTGCTAATTCCGAATTTGTTTGAAAAATACAGGGCCCTGCATTTACTATTTTTGTCAATTTTTGCAAAAATGCGTGATATGTACTTGGAAATTTTTATTTCTGAAACTATCGATCGTATCGAGATGTATCGAGGTGGAAAAGGTCGTCCACTTTTCACGCATAGAGCTCGGCCCTGTCGGACAGAGAGAAGCGAGCAGCGAAGCTCATGGCGGCAAAACGTCGTGTACATGTTGCCGTCGAACATTCTTTCGATCTACTCGAAATGTATATCGTTCCGACACTTTTACCGGGCCGTATCTTCTTCAGAAATGTCTACAGAATCCGATCCCGGGTAGAGTTTTCGTGCTGAACAAAGAACTTTTCGAAAAAATACAAAAATATTGCGGAGAAACTGCGCACGTCGACACTTTTTTTAAACTTTGACATCGATTCATAGTTATTCAGGACCAAAAACAATTAATAAATTGCATGCCACTATATTCGGAAAACTTTCCTCTATCTTTTGAGACCGATTAGAACTTTCTAGCGTTTGTACTTTTCATGCAATACCTAATTTTTGTCGAAAATTTTAGGTTCTTACAAAAGTTCGTTTTTTTTCCACAAACCGAGGGTGATGGAGCAATTCGGTTTTCGGATTCTTGTTCGGGGAGTGAAGCTCTACAAGAATTTCACAGTGGCTATAGGAAATCAGACAAAAAGTTTGATTTTGTCGCTGAAATTATGTGGCAGAAACGTGCATTTACAGACCCTAGTATTATTTAGTACAGTTTTGGAACCAAGCAACGTATTATAATGATATTGGACTTATACGAATCGGTTGACATCGAGAAATGTATATTTGCAAAAAGTCAATATTTTACTTTTTATAATTTTGTACAGTGTGATAAACCTTAAACCCATTGCGGACGAGTGTCGGCAAATAGCCGCCCAAGTCTGTTCACAGTTGCGGACACATATTATAAAGCGGCTTGCGTATGCTGTTTTTCCGAGTGATAAGATATGCTTGGGTATAAGTAGCTTTCCTTGCATGCACATTAGAGATCTTTTGCGTTGCAGTTATATTTTCCGTTGAATGTATATTATATATATATATATTTTTTTTATACTTTATAACGTTCCATACACGATGCCAAAAAGATTCCAAGAGGACATGTTTCGATGGTGATTAATAATAGTGATGACGAATATATTTATTGGATCAAACGTTTCAATATTTATAGTGATAGCAACAGCGATCATGAACTAAATATTGACGATAATAATGAAAGCTCTGACAATGAATGAAAGAATGTTACAAATAAAGACACGTACCAATATCTCTCGTCCATAACGACACTCGCTCGATGAGCAACACGGTTCGTAAAGAGTTAGATCCTGCGACGGTCAAAACCGTACGTATTAGCACGATATCAGCACAACCACAAGTGAAACAAGTCACACCGACGACTAATGCAGCTTGTCTCACTCTTTTCGCGCATTCGCATGCTTGGTGCACCATCTGAAACACGTGGCGCGATATTTGACTAGTACGTACTAGTATATTATATGCTAATATACTACTATATGTATATATTATATACTAGTATACTACTATATATTATATACTATACTACTATATATTATATATTAGTACGTACTAGTATATTTGCGAACGTCTTGAAACGACGATCATTTCTACAATTATTAAAATTTTCGAAGACCCGTAAGCTATATCTTAGCTAATGGTTTTTACTTTGAGATGACGGCGTAGCAACTCGGCCGAGAAGGCCCCTACCACCACCCCCATATTGTATATTTCGTGGTCCGTGCCCCGGCTATCTTACACTTTTGCGACGATTTGTAAAATTTATTGTCAAATTGTTACAACTTTTGAATCATTAGAGATGTTGATCATACAGAAACTCCTGATCGAATATTAGATTAGTTACTTTGGCTGATATGCATGTCAATGAATAGGAGTTTGGATATTATAGGATGAGTGATCAAAAACGCAAATTATTAGACCAAACGTCCTCTTATTTTCTTTAGAGTAACACATATTTAATGCTCGTGTGTAAAACAATCGGTTGAATATTTTTAAAGGAAGTAGGTACGCGGTTTTCTAACACTGAAGAGTGGCATACGATTCTTGTGTTGAATACGTTTAGGTAACGGGAATTTGATTTTTGAGTCGTGAAATTGTTTCACTTGCGGTCTCCTGCAGTTGGCTGCCTTTACCATTTCTACTTTAATGATTTGGATAGAATGTGCACGAGCACGATGACGGGCACCCATATCTCTATAACACTGTGTTACAGCACCACTGACAGAAAGATCTCTGTATTCTCTGTACATATTATGAGTCCCAGATCTTGAATCGTATCTCAACCAAATTCCAAAATTCTTAATTTTGATAGGTGTCTTCTCTGAAATCTAATCGTTAAACCATCAAAATTTGTGATATTACGATCGATTAATAATTGTTGTAGACGACATTTAGATTGTTTACTTACCTGTTTAAGAGATACAATTTCTCCAGTAGACTTTTTGAATTTTTTGAGTTGACGCAGAAAATACCAAAATCTGGATTTTGCGACAATAGCATCGGGCGCAAATATCCTCATTTTATAGAGAGGTGTGGTTTTCTCCTTTTCGGTCGGCAATTTACGACCGATCACTTCAAACTCCTTCAACTATGAAAACAAAAACAGTTATTGTTTAATGTAATAAATTCGTTTAATAACTTCAATACCTATTGCAGTGAAATTATTAACTGTAATCACAGTTAAATCACAGTCATTGTGTTTGCAAGCAACTAATTTTGACGTACAAGAAGTTGTTAATATCCTTGAAGACAAGAATGAATGAAGACAAGATATTCTAATTTTTTACATAGAATGCAAAAGTAATCTAGTCTACTAACACTATCTAATGATCTATTTAGCTGTTATCTACTACCATTTAAATGCAATTCGAACATGTGTTGACGTCGGTGATCATAGAATTATAGGTTAGGAGAATGTAAAACATAGTGCAACTTCGTTTTATCTGTTTCTGTTAAATTTTTAAGATATGCAAGATTAAAATATTAATTCCGCTGGAAATATTTATGGTTTTTCTAATGGAATTTGTAATATTTACTTACTTCTCCTTTGGCTTTCATTATACCGTGCGTACAGTATCACCATAAACCGGAAAAAGAGGGCACTTCGTGCTACACACTCGGTCGGAATCGGAAATGTAGCCATTCACTTTTTAAATGCAACAATACATATATATACATACATACATATATGTATACATACATGTGCACAAAATATATATGCACATGCATATGATGTATATTTAAAAAAGTAACCAAAATTGACGTGAAATGAAAATTTAGAAAAATAGTAAAAAGGATTTAGTATAGAAAAATATTCAAAGTATTGGCTAGAGTTATTGTTCAACTTTTATTGAGCATAATTACAGTTACAATTGCATTCACTTTGATAACTTAATCAGACAGTGTAGGTTTCTGTATGCGATTATACAGATGTTGTAAATTATACATAATATTCATCACATACAAATCAACATGTGATCTATTACAAGGCATTTTGCGTCCTTGAAGCTTCTACCCGATAAACAAATTAATGGAAATAATAATAATAATAATCACAATCTCAACGAAACCAAACTACTAGAATAAAATTAGATTATAAATCATTAAACTTTCTACCGTCTTGTGAATTTAATGGCAGAGAAGATGATGTGCCTTCATAAACAAGGATTACTATGTTCAGGAAGAATACAGTCTTTATGTCATCACTCTCATCACATTCATGAGACTCATAAAACGCTATTTCATCATTTATCTTCTGGCTTATTGAAAACGAGAGTGTAACCACATTTTCCACAGTAATGACGATCTTCCATTGCTGCCATGAACACTCCTGCACCGCATTGTTCCATGGGACATTCTCTCCTTAATCGGTGAATTTTTCCATTCTCATCCACCTGGACAATAAAGGATTTGTCGAACCTTTACAAGTTAAGAAGGGATATTCTTTCGTCGTCTTCAATTTACGATAATATCATCACGGAAACAGTCAATTAATTTTTAAAGATATTTTTGTTAAATTAGATTTACAGGTAACATTTATATACCTTGTAGAATTTTAGTACTGCAAGCTTGACCTTCTTTTTCTTATGCTTGATTTTTTTAGGAGTGGAGTAATTCTTCTTCTTGCGTTTCTTAGCTCCACCTCTTAGACGTAATACCAAATGTAAAGTAGATTCTTTCTGGATATTATAATCTGAAAGGGTTCTACCATCTTCTAGCTGTTTACCAGCAAAGATTAATCTTTGCTGATCTGGCGGAATACCTGCAATGATATTTTTATTAGTAAACACATCCAATCTAAATATATCTGATGTTATATTACCTTCCTTGTCTTGGATCTTAGCTTTAACATTTTCTATTGTATCTGAAGCCTCAACCTCTAAAGTGATCGTCTTTCCAGTGAGTGTTTTTACGAAAATCTGCATATTGAAGACGATGTCGGGTGGAACTGCAGAAAAGAATAATTCAATCTCAGTCTTTCAGTAACTCGCGCAGAACGCCAACGCTGCGAGTGGCCGCTTGCGGAACTACATGTCTGCCATAGACTACCTATTCGCCACATCTCGCTAGAGACTAGCGGCTCTTGAGTGCATTTCTGTACATTACAGAACAATTGTTGCGAAAATGAATTTATAATTATGACATCTTGTACAAGGTATCAATTGGATCAAGAATCTATTTTATTTTCAGTGCATAGAAGACTTTATCAATAATTCGAAATGGATAATTTTAACAAGGTATACGTTTTGTTTATTTTCATTTCTTAACCAAATACATCCTAATATTAGAATATTTTAATATAGAAGCTAACAACTGCGGTGGAATGTCATCAATATTTTTATGAACTTCTTCCCGACTGGTTTGAATACAATTACAAGGATCATGCGTATATACAGAAAAAAGTTGTATTTGCACTATATGGTCCTCCTGACTATAGTAAATATAAAAAAATTATTGATGATAATGCTAATTTATCTACTTTTGTGGAATAAGATAAGGACACACAAAGAACCGCCATTAACAAGATATATAAAAAGATACTTGAGCGTAGCAAAAGCTATAATTTTATTAAAATTGGTCTCATGTACAGGATGTCCCAAAAATGTCTCGCAATCCGAAAGTGGCGGGTTCCTCGGGTCATTTGAAGCAACTTTTTCCTTTACAAAAATTTTCTCCGAGGCACCGTTAACGAGTTATTAACGAAAAACAGTGACCAATGAGAGGCGAGCTCGACTGGCGCGAGGCGATCGAGCCAATGAGCGGTATTAGACTTCGTGCGCTGGTTGGCTGGGCCGCTTCGCGTCCGAGGAACCCGCCATTTCTGGATTGCGAGACATTTTTGGGACACCCTGTATATATATAGGTGTAGGGATAGCACGGGTACAATCCCAGGAAGACCGTAACATGGACTTCTAGAGAGAATTTACTGTATAACGACCACTGCTCGCCGAGTTTGCTTTACATTAATTCACACTATGTCTGATACGGTCTAAATAATTATTATTAAAGATAAATAAAAAAAGTTTCACATTGAATTTTATCTATCCTTTACTTGTTGTTCTTTTCTACGTTCGAAAACGTACAAAAGCGAACATCGAATCTCGGTATGAGCCTTTTCGATACACTTCCATCCTGAGGTTCATTCAGGTTCATTCATCGATCCTACCTAGCACGGTCCTCCCAGCTAATCTGAACACAGATTTTTATTGAATATATCATTTTATTTCGACATGGGTCGATATAAAATATTATATATTATATATAATATTATATTATTATAAAGAATCATCATTTTGTGATAAGAATATCTAAAGATTTCAATGTTCGTTTATTGTGATTCTGTATTCGCATACATATGTTGGTTTGAGAATTGATGATATTGGTTATTTTATAGAGTATGACACGTGTTCTTTAACGCTTCTTTAACATTTTGACAATTTCCCTTCGAGAATTCTTAATGTAACAATATTTAAAAAATTTCATGACTCGATCGCGATCACTTTATGCATTTATGACAAAAATAAATATGTCAAATACAAAACAGTAAGAACATTTAAAAAATCTAAAAATATTGTTACGGTAGTTTCAACTCATTAAAATGATTAAAAATCGAAATCAATATTTACGTACGTAGCTTTTTTATCTTGTAATTAGCGGACACAATTTTTATTTTACGTAAAAGTCCGCAGTCTAATCATGATAATTTACTGGATTTTGGAATGAAAAGCATGATAATTTAATCATTTACAATTCAGATGCAATAATGCAGCAAACAGATAGGACATGTTGTATGTATGATATGCAACGCGTGAACAAAACCGGATGTATACATTTTGTAGGCATGCGCATTACCGTATTGTGTCTTTTCACTTCCCGCTGACGTCATTTTCCATATACTTACATAAAGAGAAGCGTTATTTGAGCGTTATTCTCCATAACTTCCACCTATTTATATCACACACACAAGTGCATAAATATTTTGTGTTGATTTCTTTTAAATTACAAGTTTTAAGTTGACTGTCGTATCTTTTGTATGTAGCGTCCGATCTGTTAAACTTCGTCGCGAAGCTCGCGAGTTAGGACGTAAACATGCAAATGCAAGAAACAGAAGGAGCGGATGGTATGTAAATATTTAGTGTATCTGCTGTGAATATATCATTTCTCATCTTTGCCGAGTCTATGATAGCCTAATTTTAAGAAAATCAAACTATTGGACAGTCAATGTGATAATTCTCCTAACCTCTAAAGTTCTCGTCATAATCTTATGTTGACCGAAGTTCTTCAATGTTACGTTGTGTAATTTTAGGATCACCATGGAATAATTCCAGCGGTTGTGACGAGGAACGTCGACCAACTCAAAAGGAGGGTAAAAAATCAAACATATTACCGCTATGGGGTAATGAAAGGACTATGAATTTAAATCCACTAATTCTGACGAATATACAATCGTCGCATTATTTCAAAGTGAATTTGTACGAACTGAAAACATACCATGAGGTGATCGATGAAATTTATTACAAAGTGTCGCATTTGGAACCATGGGAGAAAGGAAGCAGAAAAACGGCGGGTCAAACAGGCATGTGTGGAGGCGTGAGTATGTTTTTCAATAGACTGACAATCCTTAATTGTTTGTTCATTTATTGACCTCAAAATGAAGCGATCGTAGAATCCATTATTATACACACGGAGAAATTAAAAATTTGTAGAATTTAAAGGACCTGAACAAAGTATATAAGATGAAATCTATCGATAAAAATAAAATAGGTGAAATCGTTTTGAATATATTCTAAAAAGTGAAAGTTTTAAACATTATAGACTTTCGCTATTAACGCGAGATTAGGCATCGGTATGAAATATATTGGTCTCCGGGACTGAACAGTTTTGTTTAACATTACACTTACTTATTACAGAGTAGCATGTTCATGGTCAATATATTTAATTATAATATGAATACGATCAATTGACATAAGGGGGTGTAAATTTAGCGGTTCATGCAGGTTCGTGGTGTTGGTGCTGGTGGAATTGTTTCGACGGCTTATTGTCTCCTATATAAACTATTCACCTTGAGGTTAACACGGAAACAATTGAATGGTCTTATCAATCATCCTGATTCACCGTATATAAGAGCACTAGGATTTATGTATATCAGGTAAGAAATTATTATGATTTCTTTAATCTTGCGTTAATTTATTCAAAACTAAATTTCTCCCGATTTTCGTAGATATACCCAACCACCAGCTGATTTATTTAGTTGGTATAGCGACTATTTAGAAGACGAAGAAGAATTAGACGTTAAAGCTGGAGGTGGTCAAGTAATGAAAATGGGTGATATTCTCAAACAATTTCTAACTAAATTAGAATGGTTTTCAACGCTATTCCCAAGGATACCAGTGCCTATACAAAAAGAACTTGAACATCGATTAGCAGAAAGGTTTCCGCAACAATCTATGAATGCTAGAAACGCAAAGCCACCTATCACATTAAATAGTCATGGAAAATATAGTAATACCAGTAATAGAAAAGATAATGGTAACATTATGCCACGAAATCAACCTAGACATATCCCCGACAGTGAAGCTCAGTGGGGCGAGGCAGAGAGAACAAGCCACTGGCGAGCCAGGTGCGTCTACGTGGTATGAATACAATCACGTTACTAATTTATATAAGATTAATAATAATCGTTGAAATTGTTAGGGAATCGGGGTGAAGATTAAGGGATGTATCCACTCCAGGAAAATAGACTTGATCTCAATGTATCTTTTGAGTTTTGTTTGATATCTGTGTATGTTAAAATTTATTTTTGATATAGTTATTTGCTACCATTATATAAATGTTGTGCGATCAATTTCTTTGTACACTTAGTTCATTTGATTCGTGTCATGCTCACTCGGAAGCCTCCAGCGTATATATATCTTGAAAAAATTCGCTTTTGGCTAAGCTATTTCTGTAATTGTGTGAGTACGGTATAAATCAAATGAGTAGAGTTTGCGATATATTTTTCATTTATCTTTGATTTCTGTATATTATTGACAATAATTTAGCACCGTTTAAAAGTAATCACGATATTCCTAATAACTGTATACTTTCAATGTATGCATTGGTTATTAAAGAATGTTTTTGTTAAGTAGCGAATTGTAGCGAACTATACAGTTATGTGTAATATCGGATAAACAATTTCTTGAATTTCTATGTGCTATTACCCATGTTTTTCATATAGGCTAATATAATTCTCGAAAGATTATTCGTGCTTCAGCGATACTTCCCATCGAACAATTTCTTTTCTAGATCTGACGAGGATCGTAAGGATAAGTACAGGGAACGCGAACGCGAACGAGAACGTACTAGAGAACGAGAAAGGGATCGAACTCGAGAGAGAGACAGGGAAAGGGACAGACACTTCAGACGATCGTCTAGCCGCGACAGAAGTCGAAGACAGAGGGAATATAGGAGTCGTAGCAAGGACAGATCACACAGAGATCGGAGTAGAGACCGTTACCGTGACAAAGATCGTCATCGGGATAGGTAATGCAATTTTTTTTGTGTAGCTTTAATTATAGTTTGTTGAAGAACTTTTTTTTAATTACAGGAGAGGCTCGCCGTACGACTATGCCGCAGAGCTTGCTCGGGAAAGAGAGAGGCAACGAAGAGAATGAAAATGTATGTTAACGTGTATATATCGATATAAATGTTTGTACGAGTGTAACTATGGAGATGAAAACGATTTAGAGCCGAGCCATCTGAACACCATCGTTTTAAAAGAAAACTTACTCCGTTTGGAGTAGTAGCCTAAATTTAATTCGATTATATTCACCTTGTAGTTTACATGTTTTTATAAAATAAATTCATGATTATAATTATCGTCTTGTATCCTTATTTTGTGTACACGATACAAATTTGTTTCGTACGAGATTTAGTTTTACGATTACGGTATTATCGCGTCGATACTGTGTGTCCAATAAAACCAATTTAATTGATTATAAGTTGTATATAAAACATTCTTAAAAATCATTCGCTTTTAAATGAAATCGCAATATATTTTATTAATATTGGCAAGAAACATCTGAAAAGTTTGTACACATATTATTGAATTGTAGTTAAAATTAAATTGTACAAAAAAAAGTTTGTAATCATTTTTATTCACGGCTCCGATTCAACACTGTGCGGCGCGTGAGTATTTTGTATTGAAGTTAAAAATGGCGACGGATACTTGCTCTTCGATTACCGTTGAGCGCGATTAGATAGCAGTGACATTGAAACATGGGAGAAATACATATTACCAGGTGACATTATCAGCAAGGCCAATTTTTCGAAGGTGATAGTAAGAAATATTTTCCAGTATTTCTTTGCTTTCGTTTAAGTTTTATCGTCAGTTTCACTTTGACCATACTGATCTCACCCGGGAGTTCAGTCTTGTTTCGCGTGGCCATGAAGTTTCATAAATATTATTCCAACAATAGGCAGGGAATTATGCTTTTATCTTTTACAAATAGCTCGTTAGAAAACATAAAAATCTCTGAAATGACAAATACGTAGGTTTAGTCCTGCGATGTTACGATTACTCCGTATCTAAAAATGACACAATAGGACAATCCATGCGCCATCTATGTCTTCGATTCGATCGAAACTGTGGATTCTGTTTACAGATGATTGGCCGACGCTGCGCTCTCGTTGCTTTAGGCGGCCTTTTGATTCTCGTTCTAAGCGTCAACGTATATTTCATCCGAATGATCGTCGAGAGCTCGTCACAGAAGACTTCTTCCAAGGGGATGCCTGTCTCGCAATTGAAATCTGAACAGGAACAGCTGATCTCTAACGTGGAACAGAATTTGGAAGTTCCGCAAAAATCAGTTGCGAGAGACATGGCGAGGAAGATTAAGGAGGAAATTCAAACGCTACCCTCGAAATACTTTAAACAGAATAACAGTTATGCAATAGTCCTGGAACGATTGTTTGCCGAATTAAAAGTAACGCCTAATGTTCGTGAAAATATATGGAATATACCTAATAATAATGTTAGTATTTCGTTGATGTATTATTTTCAATTTCTTGCGAAACAATAATTTTTCGTTTAAGAATTCTCGTACAGAAGGTAACATTTTTCAGTTCAGTCGGGAGAGAAATATTAATTGAAAGTGTGTAAGGGAAAAATAACAATTGTTTGCGTTTGTCTCTTTGTAATGTTTTCGACAATGTTAATTTTGGAAATCTAGATACATAGATACAAGCTTGTTTCAGGTATACATATAACATACATTTTGCGTTTGTTTTCATGAATACTAATATCCATGCTACATGAATGATGATAGCTGAATTGTAGTAGTTGATAATATAATATATGTATATATTATATTATCAATATCAATCTATATATATAATATAATAGTTTGTTCATATATTCATTTCAATTTGAATACAAAGGAAAGAGATATACAGAGGGATATAATCGTATGTATAATAATTATTAAAACTGATCACGAGAGCAGAAATTATAATTATTATTTTAAAAAATGCAAGCAGCAATTAAACTATGGAACATTTGCTTTGGTAGCGACTTGTTGCACAAAAATGGTATTAAAAGATACAAATTTTTATAAAAATACATCAATTCTAATTAGCATAAAAACGATATTTAAACTCTCTATATATTTCTCTCTATATATTATTGTAGTATAACATTGGATATGGGTTTTGAACTTGTGCATTTGATTTTATAATCTGTGAAAGCTGGCGAAAGCATAAGAGTTGAATGAACATTTTTTAGTGGCCGGATGCGCACCAGTTGATCCCGCCGGTTGCACCTGAACTAGGAACAATTTTGGACACTTTGCGCAAATCGAAGGTGACGAGAGCAGATAATGCGCCACTCGGTACGCAATTGAAATTGATGTTAACGCTGGAACACGGAGTGAAGGCGATGTTCAAGCCTCAATGGTATTCCAGAGATATGGTTATTCAAGGGCCGGTGTATCATGGGAAAGACCGGCATAACGCCGAAGTCGTTGCATTTCATTTATCTTCCTTACTGGCCTTGAGGAGGGTACCAATTACTGTTGCGAGGAAACGTATGTGCCTCTGTTATCTACATATTATATTATTATTATATTATTATTTTTATTATATTATTATTATTATTATTATTATTTTTATTATATTATTATCTACAAATCTTATATGTTTCACTGCTAAAAAACTAAAGTATAGTAATACCAAACAATATTTTCATAGTCGACCTGAGGAAGGAAATTCGACCACGCGCGACACCCGAGCTATATACGACCATGTATCAAGATGGCAACGATACTTGTCTTTACGGAGTTTGCCATTATTGTTCTCCTGCCGATCCAGTTTGTGGAACAGGAGACATTTTAGAGGGTGCTTTGATTTCATGGTTACCGAGGTATTTAAGGCTTGTGAAGCACCGTCATCCCTGGCAAAGGACATACAAAAAGAATAAATTCGCCATGTGGGAGACGGATGGTAATTATTGCGAAAAAGTATGTACACTTTGATGTACTAGATACATATATGTATATATGTGTATACATATATGTACAACATAGAATAGAATCCATATCTTTTCATTAATATTTTTCAAACCAATATGATATTATATATACATATATATATATTATTATATTATTATATATACATACATATTTCAAGATATTATTATATTATTTGATACTCCACGTTTCGGTCACGTTTCATTACAATTGACGTTTACAACAATTGAAGATCTCGAATCGGGCAATGTCCTTTATAAGATAAAATTTGCCCCGTCAGGTCAAACTGTCCAAAGCCTATTCCCCGCAATCATCGAGCAGACTCTTGGATTTAGTAGATACCGCGATCTTCGACTTTTTAATGGACAACGGCGATCGTCATCATTACGAGTTAGCGCAAAACAATTTCCACAATCCGGCCGTTCTGTTGATCGACAACGGGAAGAGCCTAGGAAATCCTGACGTTGATCACTTTGACATTTTAGCACCGTTGTATCAGTGTTGCATGTACGTATCCGAAGGAATTTGTATTTTACACACGTTGGGGTACTGTTGCTGTTGATACTTTTGTTGTTGTTGTTTAGGATTCATAAAACTACTTGGGACCGTTTGAGGTTGTTCAGTGGCGGTTCGTTGAGCGTGGCTGTTAGGAAACTTGTTGCACACGAGTCGGCGATAGCTGGTGTCGAACATCTAATTACAGATGCTCATTTAAGTGCCATGGATAGAAGATTACTTACTGTATACGCGGTAGTAGAATATTGTTTAAAAAGCAAAGCATATGCTTCTAATGTAATATTAGATCATCGGTAGCTGGCGTTTTATAGAATTTAACAATTTTAATACTCGAATAGGAACATATATATATATATATATAATCTGTATTTTATACAACGTAACGACAAATGGTGCTCGAGATAGTACCGTTTCAAGGAATGGCGTCAATTCAGAATTTATTGAAATTTGCAAGGGTTGTTTTTTAGACTAAATTAAGAACACAAAATGTTATGTATCTCGAATAAAATGGCTTTGTACACACAGTATTTTTTGTTTGTTTATTGTATTAAAGATTACAATGCGTAATTATCTTATATTGAAATAAATGTAGATTTAATTGTTTAGTTGTTTCAAAAGGAAATATTTGTTTGTTATTTTACTTCTATATCAGTGTTTGTTAATGATTCAGTAAAATCGCACGTACTAAAAATTTAAATTTGTTATTTTTTTTTCGATGTATAGTTTAATATACGTCGTCTCGAACAATAGCCAAAAATATTGA